CACAGGTTGCTACTCAGGATTGTTTAATTCTTTTGATCTCAAAAGTATCTCAGCCAAAGGATAGTCTATAACAGATGATAAACTGACCCAGGTTACAAAAGACACAACAGCAAACTAAGTCTAGGCTTAGCTCTCCCATTCCCTAGAAAGCAATCAATCTGTAATGTATAGGACTTCTTCCCAGGGTCAATATTATGAAAGAAATTTAGACTCGAAAGTAACATATGGAAAAGGAAGTACTGGACAACATCTGGTTAGAAATAAAGGGACAGTAACAGAAAAAAGATGTTTATATGCAAATTATTCTTAACAATCTAAATGAGGTTTGCATTTCATCACAGTTACTTAAAGGAGTTACTTACTATATCTATATATATCTATATATCTCTATGATTTTAGCACCATTCTATTAGAAAAAAACTAAATTCAGAAAATAGTTAGAATTTACAAAAATTAACTGGGCATTGATTGTCTCTTCAATTTCTAGCACATTGTTTTGCTTTCACCAAAGGAGGACTATATTTAAAGTCCTTCAGAGTGTTTATCCTGAAGAAAAGACTGAGAAAGAAAATTTTCTGGACATTATTAAAATCAGAAGGCATATGCTGCAAATAAAACTACTCAATAAAAAAAACCTTTTTTTAAAATATATTTTTTTAGTTGTTGGTAGACCTTTATTTTATTCATTTATTTATATGTGGTGCTGAGAACTGAACCCAGTGCCTCACACATGAGGCAAATGCTCTACCACTGAGCTACAACCCCAGCCTCCCCCAAAATTTTATAACATAAACAACTTCATTTTATCTACCTAGGTATATGATTTTTCATATCATGTCAATAAATTATCCGATTTAACAGCTAGTCATTAGTAATAGTTCATGCTATTTCTCATTTGGCTTAATTTCTTTACCTATCAGCTCAGACAGGCATGAAAAACCATGATTTGTTCAGTCATTAGAATTGGGTCTTACCCTCATATTCCACTGTAACCATGTCATTCTTTGTTATCATCACAAAGAAAAGAACTATTTTCTACATCACTGCATCAGACTTTATCAATGGACCACCAAGGCTGGCACTAATCCTTGTTCAAGGGAAATTTTAAAATGAAAGCATCAGTAACCATCACTTTTCTTTTTCAGCTGGCAACATATCCCAGAGAGTAATGTAAAAGATTTTCTTCAACTCACAAAAATTGTTCAATATTACCAGGATCTAATCTTCATAAAATGATTCTGGACATTCAGGATTGAAGCATGATATTTCACATTAATAATGAAGTAAGGTTGGAGGTGTAGCTCAGCTGTAGATCATTTGCCTAGCATACATGAGGCCCTGGGTTCAAATCCCCAGCACCACCACCACCAAAAAAAAAAAAAAAAAAAAAAAGCATACATACATAAAAAGGATAAAGTATGTTCCAGGCATGGTGGTACACACCTGTAATCCCAGCTTCTCAGGAAAGAATAACAAATTCAAGGTCAGCCTGGGCAACTTAGTGAGACTGTCTCAAAAAAAAAAAGGGGGGGGGGTTGAAGTTATAGAATAAAATTTATCAGGTCAAAGAGCCCGAAATTTTTTACCCTTCTCAAGGCAAGAGTTAAATATATACAGTTGTAGTTACAGTATGTCCCAAAAAGTGCCAGACTGGGTATTAGACACAGCATTTTTAAAAAGTACTGCGCATACCACTGTTGCAGAAATGAATCACAGAAGCAGTTTCTCAGAGAGGACTCAAGATCACAATTAGCTTCAAAAGCTGGGTTGCTAATTTAGGTTACTGTAAAAGAGTCTTCTCAGAAGATATGCTTTACTATTTTATATCAACAATTTTTCACTAGGCTGAAATTAACCTCAAAGCCAGACATACCATTCACATTCTTACTTTGGTAGTCATTCGCCCACTAGCTGTAGCGTGAGTTTTATTTTTGCCACTATCTCAAAATAGGGACTTTACTAGTACTACTTTGGTCTTAATTTCAGCTGACAAGCTTCAGTTTTAGGCTGCAGTTAGAAGAAGAATTTAATTTAAAAGAAAAAAACCACTGCCTTCTCATGTGACTTTCTATAGAGTAGCACAGCAAACAGAATCCAAAAATCATGCAACTAAAAATGTAATGAAAAGAAATTTAAAAAGAGATGACATATAATTAGGTTTAACTGTTTTATATGCCTGCCTTTTTTTGCCCTGGAACTGAAGGATAAGTATTAGGATTTATCCAGGTACAATGAGGCATGCCTTAATCCCAGAGATTTGGGAGGCTGAGGCAGGAGGATCACAAGTTTAAGAATAGCCTCAGTAATTAATAAGGCCTTCACTAAATTAGTAAGACACTGTATCAAAATAAAAAAGGAAAATGCCTGGAGATGTAGCTCAGTGGTAAGAGTGCCCTTGGGTTCAATTCCTGGAAGAAGAAGAAGAAGAAGAAGAAGAATCAGAAGAAGAAGAAGAGGAATCAGAAGAAGAAGAAGAAGAAGAAGAAGAAGAAAGAAGAAGAAAGAAGAAGAAAGAAAAAAAACAACTAAGTTAAGAGTAGTTACTTTTTACAAAATTCTACAGTACTTTGTGATGAAGAGGAAATACAATATAGTCATTATACATAAAAATCCTTTTAGAACTAAGGGATTCAATTCCCAGTGGTGGGGTGGAATACAGTAGAGGGCAGTGAGGATCTCCTCCTTTGAGGTACCTTCACCAGAAGTCATATCAACATATTTTACATTTCTTTCCAAAAGAAAATGCATTAAAAAATTTATCCTTTCTTCATTTAACATTCACCACATTGGGYTGGGGATGTGGCTCAAGCGGTAGCGCACTCGCCTGGCGTGCGGCCGGGTTCGATCCTCAGCACCACATACAAACAAAGATGTTGTGTCCGCCAATAACTAAAAGAAATAAATATTTTTAAAAAAATTCTCTCTCTCTCTCCTCTCTCTTAAAAAAAAAAAAAACATTCACCACATGCCTATTTTTTATCAGGACTTTACATGGGTACTATTAAGATAAAGTCAACTCAGGAGATCAGTAATTATTATCCCCGTCTCACATAAAGGGAACCAGAAGTGCAAACACACAGGCAGCTAGAAGGATGTGGAACAGGAATTGAATTCAGACAGGTGGAATGCATAGCTGTTACAAAAATCTAACTAGGACTAACATTAGAATACAAGAAAAATACATCTAAATATACACATAACCACAAGGTATGCCACAGATGCTAGCAAAAGACTGTAAAATAAAGCACAATTCTGTATGTGACACTTATAGCAAGATTTATTGACTTCAAAACTGGATATTTCAGTGACATCTCTGAGCTTTAGAGAGACATTTAAAAACTAAAATTTAAGACTTGTGAGATTACTACACAAGAAAAATTGAAGTAATTGAAACTGCAAGTAAAGTTTGTTTCAGAGAGAGAGAGATCATTTCCTCACAGTTGTATTTACAATTTTTCCTGTTCTGTGTGGTTATTTAATATACAAAGATCATGTTCAACTTAAATTGTGTTATTAATTACTCTTCCATCTCTAAGTTTTGCTTAACTTTAAAAAAAAATATGTATTTTTTAGTTGGACACAATTTTATTTATTTATTTTTATGCGGTGCTGAGAATCAAACCCAGGGCCCTGCACATGCTAGGCTAGTGCACGCACTCCGGCTGAGCCATAACCCCAGCCCCAGTTTTGCTTAACTTCAAGAGTGCCCTGTTAATAAATAACACCAAGAAAATCTTTCCTTCTTTAGTGCCTTTCCAGGGCATCCTGACTTTCAAACGTATGACTAAGATAATTTTATAGATTCTGGATTGAAATAAATAACCTCCTTCCTTATTCCTTCATGGATCCCAAATCTAACTTTTCAACACAAAAATTTGGGAAAATTGTTTAGTTCACATTACAAAAGATGAATAAGAAAAACTCCAGACTTTAAGATGGAGAGATGGAAATAATTTAGCAGTTTAAGAAAACACTGGGTACAGGCTGGGAGTAGTAGCGCACATGACACTGAGGCTGGAGGATCTCAAGTTCAAACCCACCCTCAACAACTTACACAGGTCCCAGGCAACTTAGAGAAGACCCGTGTCAAAACAAATTTTAAAGGTTCAGTGGATAAGCGCTCCTGGGTTCAACCAACCCTAGGCACAACAACAACAAAAAATACCACTGGATACAGAATTCAGAAAACGAAGATCACATGTTCAAGAACGACCTAAATAACTAGTCTCTTGCATTTTTTTTTTAACTCTCTGGAAAAGAAAAAAACTTTATATACAGGAAAAAATGGAAATTTCTGAAAAAATGCTACCCTACTCGAAAACATATCATTCAAAGCAAACACTGTTCTGAAATTTAATACTTGCTGTCTTGTTTCTGAAAATCAACATTACTCCCAAGAACCACTCAACGCCAAGACTTCCACCAAAATCAGTCTCGATTTTTAAAAAATCCGCCTGCCATCACGCCCACTTCTATACAAACGATTGACACACTCCGACTCACTGATTTCTGCAGGAACCCATTTACCTAAGAACAATTTTACGTTACAAAATTCTTTAATACTAATGACTTTCAGATTAATTTTCGGTGCATATTCAAAGAGACTGCGTTTGAATAATTTTCGGGCATCCTAAATCGCCGCTACTGGTCGTCCACTTGTGAAAGAAGCTGAAGCGACAATGAACTCCCAAGAACAGTGAAGGGGACCATAACCGAACTTCGGGCGCGGGTTCCGAGAAACACATTTCTTCAGTTCATCTACAGCGGACTCCTTAGGCCTGGCACCTGCGCGTCTGGCCGGGACCCAGGGGAACAGCGAGGACAGCTCGGTGCTCACGTCCTGGACTGGCCTGGCCAGGCCACCGGGTAGGGGTGATGGGGGGGGGGGGGGCAAAAGAAACGCAGCCCGAGGTAGCGCACGGGCAAAAGGGCCCAGGAGAGGCCGCCGCGCCCGCCCCTCGCTCGGCCCAGCGCTCCCGAGCTTTTCTTTTCACTCTTACCTTTTCACACAGCGTCCGCACTTGGTTCTCGTTCAGCTGTTTACACTCATTCAGCTGCTCGACCCACTGGTCCAGCTCCTTGGTGAAGGCCTTGTCGTCCATGGCGGCCAGCTCCCCTTCCCCGCCGCCTCCCTCCCCCCTCCCCGCCCCCACCCGCCCCGGCCCCCGCCTCCGCCCGCGACGCTAGCCTCCCCGGACGCACTCGCCAGCTCTCAGCTGGAAACGAGGGAGAGGTGGAGGGCGGCCGCGAGCCCAGGGCCCCGCCCAAGACCAGCGGGAGGCTCCAGGAGACCCCCCCGCCCGCCCTGCCCCGCCCGGCGCGCGCCGCGGGAGTCGGTGAAAGGTGCGGGAAGTTGCTGGGAGCGCGGTGCAGGCCCTGGGCTCGGTCGGACGATAACTACCCGCCGCCTCCTCCCTCAATCTCTCCTCTCCTCGATCTCTCGGCCCTTCTCTCTCGCTCTTTCTCTCCCCTCCCTCTGGGTTTCCGTCATCGCCCCGGCATTTCCGCCGGGAAAAGGCGAGCAGGCGGCACCGCCAGGGCACGGCCCGCAAGGAACAGAGCAGCGCCCTCGCGCGGATCGGCGGAGAAACGGTCCGAGGGGGCCCAGGGTCGCGCTTACTTGCTGGTCTTGCTGGAGCCTCTTTTCCCATCAGGCTCCAGACCTAGCTGGGCTGGTTCCTCCTCCCCACCCAGTTCTCTGGGAGCTAGGTCTTCATTTTGGCCTCCTGGAGTGCTTTTTCAGCGTTCTGGATCGGGAATTGGAAATCTCGGGATTTCACTTTCCTGTAACAGGCATTCGATATTTATTGAATAAACAAATTATTTCTAGTCTTAATTCTAGCTGTGGAACCCTTAATCTTGAATCTTCCCTTTCAGCATCAGAAAGAGGAAAGAAAAATTATTTTGCGGTGCCAGGAATTGAAACCAGGGCCTCAAGCATATTAGGCAAGCACTATACCACTGAGCTAAACTTTTAGCACCTTTTAAACTTTATACACACACACACACACACACACACACACACACATATTCTAATTAGTTATACATGACAGTAGAATGCATTTTGACACATCGTACATAAATGAAGTATAACTTCTCATTCGTCTGGTTGTACAAGATGGAGAATTACACAGGCTATATAATCACATATGCCCATAGGGTAGTAATGTCTGATTAATTGCTACCCCCATACCCCCTCCCGTCCCTTCACTCCCATCAGCCCAATCCGAAGTACCTCTATTCTTTCCTAGCCTCCCCTTTTTGTGAATTAGCATTCATCAGAAAAAACATTTGCCCTTTGGTTCTTTGGGATTGGTTTATTTCACTTAGCATAGTATTCTCCAGTTCCATCCATTTACCTGCAAATGCCGTAATTTCATTCTTTAAGGCTGAGTAATATTCCATTGTGTATATATACCACATTTTCTTTATCCATTCAACTGTTGAAGGGTGCTTAGTTTGGTTTTGTAACTTAACTATCATGCATTGAGCTGCTATAAGCGTTGATATGGTTGTGACACTGTAGTATGCTGATTTTAAGTCCTTTGGTTATAAATTGAGGAGTAGGATGACTGGGTCAAATAGTGGTTCCATTCCAAGTTTTCTAAGTAATCCCCATACTGCTTTCCAGAGTAGTTGCACCAGTTCGCAGTTTGCAGTTGCACCAGAAATGTATGAGTGTACCTTTTCTTTCTTGTTTGTATTCTTGATGATTGCCATTCTGATAGAGTGAGATGGAATCTCATTGTAGTTTTGATTCGCATTTCTCTAATTGCTAGAGATGTTGAACATTTTTTCATATATTTGTTGATGGATTGTATTCCTTCTATTCAGTTCCTTAGCCCATTTATTGATTGGGTTATTTGTTTTTATAGTGTTAAATTTTTTTGTGTTCTTTATATATACTGAAGATTAATGCTCTATCTGAGGTGCATGTGGTAAAAGTTTTCTCCCATTCTGTAAGCTCTCTCTTCATGTTATTGTTTCCTTTGCTGTGAAGAAGGTTTTTAGTTTGATTCCGTCCCATTTGTTGATTCTTGATTTTACTTCTTGTGTTTTAGGAATCTTGTTAAGGAAGTCAGTTCCTAAGCTGACATGGTGGATATCTGGGCCTACTTTTTCTTCTATTAGGCGAAAGGTCTAGATGAAAGTCTACTTGTATAATTGCAATAGCTATTGCACTTCCTGAGGAGGTTAGACCAAAAGTTTTTAAAAAGGTAGATGTTTGCCTAAACCTGAAAGGCCCAGAATGAAATGAGAATGAGAATATTTTCCTAGTAGATTGGGAACAGGAGAAATGGGAATGATGAATGGTGATGAGGGAAGAAGATACTTGAATCAGAAACCAATGTTTGGAATTGATGAGATAATGTAGTTAGGGTTGTGCATGAGTAGATGAGTCGGGGAAAGTAGTACTTCTGAAAAGTTAAGTCAAATGGTGCTATAAAACAAAACACTTTTTCTTTGCTTTTCATCCTTCCATCCACCCTTCCCTCTTTCTCTTTTTTCCTTTCTCTCTTTCTCTCTCTTTCACATGTTCTGGCTATCTTGCCCAGACTGGCCTTGAACTTCTGGGCCTAAGGGATCCTCCTTCCTTGAATACAGGTGACCACCACCAAGACCAACAAATAAGAATTCTTTTTTGAGTGCTTCCTATCTATACTATGTGTTTTACATGTTCCTTCTTATTTATAACACTATTGTATAAAAATGTTATACAGTAATCCTATGAAGCAAATATTATTACCCTGTATTTTGTAATGAGGAAACAGACATGTATGGATTTCAAAACAGGTTCATGGGCTTGGGTTGTAGTTCCATGATGGAGCACTTTCCCAGCATGTAGAAGCCCTGGGCTTAATCTTCAGCACCAAGAACAGAAAAAAAAGACAGTTTTTTAAAATGTTCATGTATCTGACAAAGGAATAATGTCCAGAATATATAAAGAACTAAAAAAAAAAAAACCCTAGAACATGTAATTTAATTTTAAAATGAACAAATGATACAGATACTTCTCAAAAAATTACAAATGTTTAACAAATAGTTTTAAAATTGCTCAATATCATTAACCATAAGAGAAATGAAATCAAAACTATAAAGATATTACCTCACCCTAGTTAGAATGGTTATTATCAAAACAACAAAAAAATGCCAGGCATGATGGTACACACCTGTAATCTTTGCTACTGGGAATGCTGAGACAGGAGGATCACAAGTTTGAAGCCAGCCTGGACAACTTAGCAAGACCCTGTTTCAAAGTGAAAAATGGAAAGGTCTGGGGATGAAGTTCAGTGGTAGAGCACTTGCCTAGGATGTGCAAGGCCCTGCATTTGACCCCTAGTACTGCACAACAAAACAAAACAAACTGTGACAAGGATGTGGAAAATAAAAAACTCATATACTCTTTGTAGGAATGTAAATTAGTAACAATCATTACAAAGAACAGTATGGAAGTGCTTCAGAAAAACTCAAAATAAGTCTACCATATGATCCAGCTGGTCCACTTCTGGGTATACATACAAAGGCAATGAAATTGGCATACTTGCACACTCATCTTTATTGTAGCAATATTCTCTAAAGACAAAATATTGAATCAACCTGGATGCCCATCAGCTAATGAATGGATAAAGAATATGTGGTGTACATACACAATAGAGTATTATTCAGCCATAAAGAATGAAATCCTTTCATCCAAAATGGATGGATCTAGAGGACATTACGTTAATTAAAATAAGCCAGACATAGGAATACAAATCTCACATATTCTCTCATGTGTGGAAGTTTTTTAAAAGTCAACCTGAAAGTAGAAGAGTGAATTACTAAAGACTGAGGAGGTGAGGTGGAGTGGGAAGATGGGTAAAGGGAATCTGGAATTGATCAGTGCACATTGTACTTATTGCAAAGAGGTATCACACTGAACTCATTAATATTTGTAATATTAATAATTGTAAAATTAATATATGTTAATATTTTTAAAAAGAACAGCATCCAAGTTGTTCATGCCACTCAGTGCCAGGGAGGAAAGAACACCACTACTTTTGTCTGCCTTCCACTCCCCTGCTTTATGACCTCTGTAATCTATTGGAAACAGGGAAAATGGAAAGATGGTGGATTAGGAACTTGGCAGTTACAATATCAGGTTTTGCTATTTGGGTTGTGAAGTCATCTTAATAAACACTACAGCTGGGTATGGTGGCATGTGCCTATAGTTCCAGCTACTCCAAGTAATGCCCCAGGGCTGAAGCAGGAGAATCCCTTGAGCACAAGAGTTTGAGACCAGCTCAGGTAACACAGCAAGACTGTCTTGAAAACAAAACAAACCAAAAAAAATGGCAAAATAAAAAAAAACTATAATTCTTAAACTTCTTTCTTTGCTCTTTGCTTCTGTCTTACATGTGTGCATGAGTGCTTGTATATGCGTGTGTGTTCTCTTGTAGAACATAAACATCAGTCTCTAATCCTTGCTAATTACTTGTCATGTAAAACTGCAGTTCTAAATTTTGTTGTTTACCAAAAATGTTCTCATTTTAATTGTTTACCTTTCTCCTTTTGGTCAAAGAATTTTAAAATTGTTTACATGATCAGATCCTTCAACTTAAATGTATATGTTAAGTTTTGTTCCTACAGGGGCTGGGGCTATAGCTCAGTGGCAAAGCGCTTGCCTAGCATGTGTTAGGCACTAGGTTCCATCTTCAGCATCACATAAAAATAAACAAATAAAAGAAAGGTATGCTGCCCATCTACAACTACAAAAAAATGTTTGTTCCTACATAATTGACTAGTTTCTTTTAAAATATGTAAACATTGATTTTTTTCTTGATATATTTTACCATTTAGAATAGGAATTATTCATATTTTATAAGAATTATATACTGCATCAAAATTATACATGATATTGGTCTGTAAAAGATTCCTATAAAATTATAATTCTCAAAAGATTAAAGGAATATTTTAACTCCTAGTTCAAATGCCTTCTGGTAATTGGAAGGTAAATATGTTGTTTATTGAAATCAACACAGGAAATTCTGTGGTGACACAAAGCTTCAAAAATTCTTTGATATCTTGGGTGATAGAAGTATCTTTGTTATACCCATTTAGTAACTTCTGGTGGGCCCCTAGAT